CTTGACTTGACGTCCCTATGGATCAGACAACGCTCCGAGAATGTGTGAAGGTACAGCAAACCTGAAGAAGGTTAAGAGAAAATGACATAAATGAAAACGGCATACTTAGGTATTTTCTGTTTACAAATGTGTTTTCATAGCAAGTGCTAGGGAATGATTGATTGTTTAACTCAATTAAATTCTGCCTTCAATCTTTGTCTCTTAGGAAATACGTTCTCTTTTTTTTACGCATGCTTAAGTCCATAGATATTGGCTTATTTCATTGAAGAGCTGCATGAATTGCAGAGTCTTGTGTTACTTGCCTCTCGCTGCTCCTAACGCAATGGAAAGTCTGGCCGGCCAGTCTAGAATCTTCCTTTTTGCTGCTCCTCCTAAACAAGATGAAGGAACAAACAAGAAATTAGTGCTGGTTCTTATGATAAAGTGATAGACAGGAATTTGCTTATGTATGCAGTACCATATAACCTATCCTGTAGGGAGCTGTTTGACATAAATGGATAAACCAGAATCTGCTGTTCATTCTCGCAGCAGTAGCCAATAAGAGGGACCAGGTTCTCATGTGTGATAGCTGACAGAAGGTTAAGCTGTAATACAAATTACAGCAGTGGTTAACTTGCAAGCTGTGTTATTTGTGATGCATGGGTTAACTATCATGGATAAGATGCATTATTATATAGATGGCTCCTGAAGAGCTAAGACATTTCAGAGGCAACACTGCTTGTCGGAAGTAATTATGAAGAGAACATCACGGATCTGTGAGGAATCTTGTGGAGCATATCGTTAGTTTATTCCCTATGTGAAACAGCAATATAAAATAGAAGATTCATTGCTCACACCATGTGCTGATGCTTTTCTCACATTTTAGGTAACATGTTTTTGTTGCTTTGATGCAAATAAGGAAGTTGGGAGGAAATTGGTCTACAAATACTCTAGATTGTTACCTCGTTATTGAATTCTCGAATTCCCTGAGTCGAAGTGGCTGACCTGACCTTTACAGCCACTTCTACACCATCAGGTAAGGTACCACGGTAAACGGATCCAAAGCCACCTTCACCTATCAAAGTTTTGTAGTTCTGAGTAATAGCTTCTATATATTCCAATTTGAAGTTCCTGGAGGATATTGACTTCATCATGGTAGTATCCATGCTTGGTACTGAGTATACTGCATCTGCATTTGAAATTTTTTTTTGAGCATATTGCTTCGTTGAGTTTAAGTACCAAATGTTAAAGATATAAACTCAGTTTCAAATTTCTGGAGTTCCTGTCAAAAAAGCTTCTTTGCGACAGATGATATAGTAACAGTTTCTGCTTTTCTTAGTCATGAAAACTTTTATGATTTATGCTTGTTGACTCCAGTCTTAAGCTATTGCAAGCAACAAGAAAAGATTCTTAAATTATCTTGATATATTATCATGCATTATGCGTGCAGGATTATTTCTAGTGTGCTGAGAGTGTACTTACTCCTTGTGATCGAGTAATTTCTCATAAGAAATTTTGGTCCTGCCATTACTCGTCTTTTGAAGAGGCAGACCACAGAGATAACAATTGCAAGGATCACCAGGAGGGCTGTACCTACAGCTGCTCCAATCACAAGTTTATGTGTTGAACTTGAGTTTTGTTTAACATTAGCCATCCCTTTGCTGAAATGCAAAAAAAAAAAAGAAATTAGTTTATTTCTCTTCTTTGTCAGTTCCCTGCTCTTGATATCGCATTGCTTTCCCCCACCCTCAGAGAAAAAGTGGACAATGTAAAATGATAGAAATTGTTTTCTTTTTCTGAAGACAGGGCAGTGGTTTCATACTCTGTTGTAATATTAGATTCTTTTATGCTTCTAGAAAGCTTGTTGCTAATATGAATCCTGCTGCTTAAGTATCTGGAGGGACAAATAGACAAAGATATTAGTTTCACATCATACTTTTTTATCATAACATATGAAGCATGAAGACAGCTTGCTACTAAACATTTTGTACAGCTTTGTTATTTTTTTCAGAGGTTAATCCTCTGTGTGATATTATTTAACTTCTTCACGTTCTGCAATTATTTTATGTGGAAACCAACATAGAAGATTTACCTTGTAGAGTATGTGAAGTATGATGTAAAGAGTGAATTTGTGCCACTAGAGCCATTAATGCTGATATTCCTGTCTTGGCAAATAACTTGATTGCTTAGTAAAACTATACCAGATTGTAAATTTATTTTAAAAGAAAATGAATTAGTGTTGATGACAAAGGCTTGGACGTACAGTTTTCTCAGGTGCATCAGTTTTTGGATGCTAGGAGGGCTAGGTCCACTAAGGCCACCTGAGGAGAGATCTCTGTGGTAGGGAATAAGAGAAAAATGATTAAATCTATCTATCTCAAATGTGCTTACTATGCTACGGATAAATGAGGTGGAAAAAATGGTAAGACATATTATTTGATAATGTTCAGAAAAACAAACTGCTTTGAGTATTTGATATAGAGGGAATAACTTACATCTGAGTGATGACTGAAGTACCATTAACTCGATCACAAGTTAGGCCCGGCCAGGGAAGGGGAAGACAAGGGTCTCCTGACCAACTCTTCCATATTTCATTGTTTTTGTTTTGTTGCAATAATTCCTTCTTGACATTCGCCATTATGTCAACTGAAACATATAAAGAGATAATAAATGCACTTTTCTGTAATGCTTTTCTACTACTGCTATCTTAAATTCTGCTACTATGCATATTTTTCGAGTAAAATTACCTTCTTCAGTGGCTGTTTCTTTAACACGAGGAAGAGCCTTTAAAATCTCATAACCATTACAAATGGGTCCCAATTGAGATAGATTTGAGGCCTTGATCATTGTCAGGTTGACAGACCTATTTGCTCTGAAATTCAGAACTACATCCAGGTATCTGGAACCACTAGCCAGTATATCAACCTTAAGTCTCTTTTCGTTGTTAATGTATATATAGAACACCCTTTCTCCAGCTTGAACTGAGTCATTGGGCTCTAGAAAGTACAGGAAGAGAGAGTAAGTATAATATCCTGTGTCAAGGTCTTCATGCAAGAAGTCCAATCTCTCTGGATGGGTGAGGGCTGTTCGTAATACGAATGCAGGAGGTAATAAACTATGTTTTCTTGCAAAGACATGCTTAATAATGGATGGCGGCGTTTGAGTAACTTGTGATTCTAGATTTGAGGCTGGTCTCCAAATTCTATCGTACTGGTCATATGGGTACCTGAGTTGACAAGTCTTCACATTATCACTTCATGATACTTGATATGATAACATGTTTGTTACTATGAAAGAATATACTCTGTTTCGAATCCAAAATATAATTGTGTGATAGGATGAAAGAATACCTGATTTCCGCAGCCTTATTTCCAGCATCTACTCTATGTACAAGTTTGAGTATTTCTGAAGGCTCCTTTTTGAGATAATCTGAATTTATCGGTCTGAGTTCAACCTTAGAAATGTAAGGATTCCCCTTCTTTTTCAATAGGCAGAAGTTTGTATAGCTTCTAGTAGCTCTAAAAATTCCCTCAACCTTAAGTTCATCAGATGACTTCACTGTGGCTATTGGTGTGACACCAATCAAAACAACAAAAGAACTATGTGGGAGAGTCTTCTCTTGTTTGACAGAAAGAAATGTACCTCTTACTAGATAGTCATGCTCTTTCCTGGTTGGCAAGCTGTAACACCACTTATGACTAATGTCTGAGCTAAAAGATCGAGCTCGTTCATAGTGTTCACTCTTGTACACTGGCCTTGATATGCAACTCTGATTTTCAGGGAACCAAATTCCATCTGAAATCCAACTTAAGTTGGTACGTGGTTCCGTAAAGTTTGCAGTAGCACAGCACTGAATACTTAGAAATCCTGCTCGAAACCACATGGGAATTTATCAGTTAGATTAAGTAACCTAATTATGTGACATATCTGCAATTACATATATATGCTACGAATAGCTGGTTACTGTGTTTTGTAAGACAGGTAAGTTTATTTTACCTGATCTGCTTATGCTCTTTTTCGATTTGTAGTCAATACGATCTACTTATGCAGTGGAAGTAGGTTTAGAGGTGTTGAGTTTTGCAGCACTTTGTGGAGTAATCAAACACAGATTTATATGATAGTTTGAGGCAATTTTTTTCTTTTTGACAAATGATATCAGTCTTCATGTGGTGATTATTTGGGAATTCTTAGGGTTCTTGAGTGAATTCAACAAACGTTATAGAGATCAACAGGATGACGATGATCAATATCATTCACAATAGAGGAAAGAGCAACTATCTTATTGATATCAAACCAATTGGTAACTCTTATATCATTGTCAAACTAAAAAAAACTTCAAACATGATATATGTAGACTCACCTTCTTGTGCAAAGGCAGATTGTATATATATCACCAGGCAGATGATAACACAGTTGACCAACCTTATGTTCCAGCAATTATCTACTTCCATCAGCCTATTCTCATGGAAGAAAATTGCCCTATCAGGTCATCCCAACTCAAAACCTGACTATGCCTATCTCATTAAACTTTGGTTATCTACAAAATCCAATTTCCAACTCATGATTTTCTGTAATTTTAAAATGAAAAACTGATTAAAAAGCGAAAATAGGTAGGAGGGAACAAGATAGGTTTTGCAGATACCAGCAAACTGGGACTTATGACTTCCAATGGTTTCAATTTTTGAAGCATTACTAGGTAAAAACTAAACTAAAAATTAGTACAAAAGAAACGTCACTTATTTTACATTGTTTATGAGATTACATGATTAAACTAATAGTAATCGTCTTTGTCATGGTAATGGTGGGACAATAATTAGTTTAATGATACAACTCAAATTGCAATTATAATAATAATGATAGGGCGGAACAAAACAACCATTCGTCAATCATCTTCTCTAATTCGTCTCTCCTTTTGTCTGTTATCTACTGCGAAACCTCAAGGAAATGAGCCTTCACTTATTTAACTCTCTTTCTTTATTCATACTATACAAGTCAAGAAAGTTACCTTTTGGTGCTCTCAATCATGTAATTTACAGCTTATTTTATTCTAAGGTGAAGAGGATATAATACATTGTAAATACAACTAATCAATTACTGCCAATTAACCACACACACTCCCATCCACCTTGAAAGAAAGGAATCGATGGAAGTGTAAATGATATTTACATTATCGTGAACTCACTCAAAAGACAACCAAATTGAATAATAGAATTTCCTCTTCAAACTACAAAAATTAACTAGTCTATTAGAAAGTCGAATTAGCAACTATATATGAATTTTCACTCTCCAGTTATTATTTAGGCATTGTCGTGAAAGGTAACAGGTATCCTCGAGTTTCCAAAAGTTTTTTACTGGCAGATCAAATGAAATTTTCAGTCACTCATAACTCTCAATACGATTCTAGTCCTCGTTTCATCACCCATAGTCACATTCCTTATCCCCAACACCTTAGACTTCCGAAACAATTTCACCACTTCCTCCACCTCTCTGCCGCCGCACTCTTCCACAGCCACTACACACGCGCCACCAAGTCTCACCGTTCTCTCCATTTCCGCCACGTATCTATCAGGAAACAATGCCCGATCCAAATACGCACTAAACCCGAGATCAAACGCATTATCAAAAAAGGGCAGACTATGCGGATCCGCACGTCTGACAAGCGGCGGCGAATCCACAACCTCCACACCAGTAATGTCGTGAAGGCCCATTTCTTTTAGGGCCATTACAGCCTGACCCGCCCCAGCAGATACCACGAGAGCCCGTGAATGTTTAGTAAACAGCTTCTTGTCCTGAAGAGCCTGGAATTGGGATTTGAAAGAAAGAACTGTTTGGATCCAGGCGGTTGTGGACCATACACGACGGTTGTGTTTCTTAATTGAGGTGTAACTCCGGTGAGCGAAATCGCAGGTTGATTTGGGGAAACGGTGATGGGGCTTAGGTTTGGTGATATTGGGATTAACGCAGGTTTCAGGTGTTCGGATGAAAAGCAAGAGAAGGATAAATGTGGCTGCAATGATGGAGGCTAAAGAGAGCCTGTTGAGGAATTGTTGAACATATCTATCCATTCTTCTTCTTCTGCATACATTTGGATCTCAATGGGCGTTCATGAAGGAGACTAATCAAACGTTGCCGTTTTACAAAGATGAAAAATACTATACTAACAGAGTTTCTTATTTAGGTGCCACATTTTCAATAATTAATAATTTAAATCACAATTATTAATAATTTAAAAACTCTTAAAAGATAAATTCTTTAGATGAATTGATTTATTTAGGTAAACTCATCGATAGCCCCATTAATTTTATCAAGTCATATAATTTTCGATGAAAACATAATTTATTTATGCATAAGAACATCTATTATTTTTAATTAAGAGAATGATCAAATTGCTAGTACTTGAGGGGATAGCATATTATACTTTCAAAGGCAAATACCATCTTTTTAATTAAGATTTTAGAAAGATCAAATAGCCAAAGCAGTTACAGACTATTTTAAGTATGGCATAATGACATCCGTTAAATACATAAATTTCTTATTGTGGAAATTGGAATCTGGACAAATGTCCAATTTCTTTTGTGTTTTCTTAATTCTGGCAAATTAAGATATTCATATCATAATATTTGTCTGTACAGCATAATAATCGTATATTCCAAGCATAACTATTGGTCGGTTTAAGGATGTATGCTGAATAAATAATAAACATTCTTGACCTTTTTAAAATTAATATATGCATTTCATCACTATTTTACCTTTTGTCAACTGTTTATTTAATAAAACCGAAGCCTATCCTTTTGCAAACAATAATTTATTTAAGATCGTGGTAAAGTAATAAATATTTTTTTATTTTTAATTAAAATTTTTAAGTTTATTTTTAAGTAAGAAATTAGTTTTATTAGAGCGTGTTTTTATTGGTGGATCTTCCGACACAAATTTAAAGTTTTGATTATGTTTTAATATTTAGATAATGTATGATAAAGAAAATGAAAAAAGAAAAAATCTAAAAATCATTCTTTGTTGGAGAAACAAAGATTGAGAGACAATTTTTTGGTATATGCTTTGTAGTTGCGGAATAGATGCGCTTAGGCAATGATTTTTTGTTAGCAACTAAACAGTTTTTATTATTTATCAAAGTGAGTTTAGGCAATAAAACAATTATTACGTATTAAATACTGATTTATATATATATCCAATAAACTGGTAGTGCATAAGTATATGTAAGTTCTTATAAACTTATTTTAATCATTTTATTATCCTTATTATAACCTTATCTGGTGAAGGGTATTATATGGTTGAATAATAATATAGTATCTGTAAATTTATAGTCTCTTTTACTCGTCAATTGGAAACAATTGAATTGCATCACCAATTTTAGGCATATATATTATATTTTAAATATTTAAGAAATTTATTTAATATGCGAAAAATATAAAATTGTAATCTTATGACTTAAAATTAAAATTATAAATCATAAATGAAAAGTATTCATTTCTTTAATATTTATGTAATGCATTTTGATATGCAGAAAATTCTGCTCAATTTTATTACTTCACTTCATCACCTGAAGTTGTATTTTATTTTTGAGGATCTAGTGTTTCACGAGATGAACTGGTGTCGATGGGAGAAAGATATCGTAATCTTGTTTACAAAATATTGGACTGCCAACTATTATGTTCATAACTTGGAATGGTTGTTGTAGTATCTAGGATTGCATGCATTACTCAATTGATAGGCAGGCTATGAGTTAATTGTGTTTTAGCTTCGCAAATTTCAGTTTTATTCTCACCAAACCACCATTTTGTTGTAAAACTATACATAAACTTTTTTTATTTATAAATTTCTCTCTCCGATATTAATCATAATGGCAATCAAACATGTCCTCTTTTGAGCTGAAAACCTGTTGCTTGACGTGGCATCCCAGGTGGGGATTTGTGAGATTTTAAAGAAAATTTTATTTCATGGTGTTTCTTCACATCTCATAAGGATAACTGATGCTTGCAGTCATGGCAAATTACTAAGCTTTTGAGTTAATTCGTGTTTTGACTTGTTCATGCTCCCCCCCCCCCCCCCCCCCCACAAACACCCTTTTCATGCACTCCCTTTTTCATATTCTTGTTACTTACTCTGCTCCATTTTATACACAATGAAGATTTGAAGGTTTTCATCTATCGATATTCAATAAAATATATTATCTCTTGAGCTAAATAACTGTTGCTTGGCACTGCATTTCAAGTGGGTCTATGAGATTTTTGGAGAAGGTCCTTCTCTTTGTTAATTTTGAAAAAGGAATTCTTTTATGAGATATAAGTAATTAATTAGGAACGAATAAAAATATGTGTGACAAGGGAAATTTAAAATCTCATAGATCTAATAATCCTTTCTAAATGATAGATCTAATAAATCTTTTTGATGTAAAAAATGGTGTTGATGAATCAAATATCAAAGATTTAGTTGAAGAAAGTAAGAAATGAATTAAAACAGAAAAGAAAAGAAGAAAAAATGTGGAAAAAGAATGTTTGCCTTGAACAGAATGAAAAGAATACAAAAGAGAAAAGAAAAAAAAAATACAGGAAAAGAACAAAATAAATAATGAAGAAGATGTTAGTCATTTGATAGGGTGTACAAAAATAATATCTAATAGGGTGTATTAGTAAGGGCAAGTTTCACATATAGCAAATATAAAAATTATATTTGTATGTTATAACAAAGTTTGCATAATTGTGCTCCATAGCAAACATATAAATGTATAGTATACATATACAATTGTATGATTCGCTGGTCTATTTCGCTGCAATTGTATAATTCATTAGCCTATTTAACTACAATATATGTATGAAATTTACATTCATATACAATTGAATCGAAGTAAAATATTTGTATATTGTATAATTATACGTGTATAGAAAGAAGATATATGTTTTTGCATGTGTATATACAATTTTCTCTCGCTTTACACAAAACAGAAACACAATTTATACATTTTTGTTGTATAAAGCGAGATAAAATTGTATTTCGCATTAATTGTATAATTCGCTGACATATTTCGCTATAATTGTATAATTCGCTGCAATATTTGTATAAAATTTGCATTTGTATGCAATCGAATCAAAGTAAAATGTTTGTATATCATATAATTAAGTGTAAAGCAAAAAGATATATGTTTTTGTACGTGTATACACAATTTTCTCTCGCTTTATACTAAACAGAAACACAATTTATACACTTCTGTTGTATAAAGCGAAAAAGGCGAGAAAATGGAGAGTGGCGAACGAGAGTTTATGGAGAGAAGCGACTGACAAACGTTTGCTATGAAGCACAATCAAATCAAACAATAGTTACTCCATTTATTTTAGATTATTAGTTTGTTATTCTGTATAATTACCCCTATTAGTAATGTATAAATTAATTATATTTGTATTAATTATGCATAGATTATATCTTATACATTGTTTGGTTTAATGTATTAAAAATAGTACGCATGGTATAAAAGTACCCTTCACAATTATGGTGGAAAGATGTAAAAGTACTTTTTGAGGGGTAATTGGTCTTTAACCATATTGATGTATGTATTAAATCCTTTGCATTACTAATACCTAGAAATTCATAATATTAGTAACACACTCCTCAATACTCAATAGAGTGTATAACTAACACAGTCGTTAATTATACATTGCATGAAAAAAAATGCACCAAACAAGGAATTACTAATCGATATAATTATACATACGTTATTTTTGCTAATACATTTTACCAAACGGCTCATAATTCAAAATAAAGTATTTAAGAATTAGTAAAGTAGGTTATTAATTATGTCATCTAAGAGTGTTGAGATAAAAATCGATCCAAATTGAAAAATCAAACCAAATCAACAAAATAAGACCAATTTTATTTTGGATTTGATTTGATTTAAGTTTTTTTACAATCGATAATATTTAATTTGATTATGATTTTATTCGAAAAAATTAAAAAAAATAGTTGAACCAAACAGATGAGTTATATACATATATTTTGTCAATAATGACATATCAATTTTTTTGTCTTTTTCTTCCGGGTGCACTAATATTTGGTTATACAATTTTTTGACATGTGATCCTTTAAGAGTAATTAAATTAAATTTAAATTAAAATAGAGGTAAAGTCCTAAAGCAAGTTGTGTAAATAAATTAAAGTAGGAGTATGTCTTTTCTCGAAAATAAACAAGCACTTCTATTTGGTAATGTTAATAACCAACCTCCCAGTTGTAAAGATTAAAATCTTCACAAGTTGTCATTATATGTTTGATTTTGTCTTCAAAAAGTACATTATTTATGGGTTAAGTAAATGACACTTTATTGGAGTAATCTGAATTTCATATAAGGTAGACATAATCACATACTACAAAACATGTCAGTATAAGGGACGAAAATACTCGTAAAAATTATAGAATTTTTTTATTTTTATTTAATGATGAGATCAAAAGAGTGTATTTGTCGTTAGATCACAATTGAAGTTTTGTGTTATATTAATAGTTGAGAGTAAAATATTTTGAAAAAACTTGCAGATATTTTTGGATGATAAGAGTCGAGTTTACACAATCCTTGAATATCTATGTTTACTTTTTACTTTCTAATGTTTGGCATTCATTTGATTTTATTACACATATTCTTACTTATATATATTTATGGAGGTCAACATTTCTACTCTAAAATCTTTTATTATATTCAATTAAGAACGTGTCTTAAAATTCATGAGAGTAGAGCTTTCAATCTTAACGATAATTAATTGCACGGATAATTTAAGATTTGGAATTGTACGAAGCAATCAAAGTTATGGAGGTATCACTTTCCAGTCTCATTTTTTTAGGGCTAATCATTTTATTTCTATGATTTTTTCTTATGTGTAATCTTGAGAACTTTAAATTCTAAGATGTGAGTAAATTATTTTTATTTTATGTATCAAGACAATTTTGTGCATTTGGTAATTATGTTTGTGAAAATTTATTCTACAACTATTCGATCTAGTTGTATTTGGGATGATTAGAAACTATAGTCTCTTTTTTATTATTCCTCATTGACGATAACTTTTTATGTATTCTTTCGAAATATGATGTATATGTTTCTGTCCAAGTAGAATAAATTGGAAGGAAGTGTACTCTTCGTATGTTTTAAAATATCAACAATCGCGGTTAAAAGTGACTAATTGTCTCAAATACATACTTATATTTAAAATAATTATAGTATTAAAGCTTGCAAAAATATATTTCATTTGTTGTCACGTGAAGTGAGCCTTTTATTTTAAGTCAAACAAATAAAACAATATTAATATTTTGAAAGTTTGATATGAGATTATGGTACAAATGCATAGAGATAAGAAAGATATTTTTCCCTTATAGTTTGTTCAATACTTCACCAGTATCAGTAATGCATTTCCTTTGTCCGCATGAAATTTGAATATGAACTCAAAATATAGGTACTTTTAACTAAATTTTTATATATAATTTTAAGAAATTTATTGAATAATATAAAATATAATATATAATCTAGTAACTTAGAATTAAAATTTTGAAACATAATTTCGTATGAGATTATATGAGTTAATTAATTTAACGTTATAGATGATATAACAAATTTTACATTTAACAAATAAATAAATGCAAAATAGAGATAGACTCTTCTAATTTAAAATTAAAAAAAAAAAAAGAACTTGGATTTTTTTTTAAAAAATTACTCCATTAACTATTTTTCTTTGACGCGTTGATTAATTTAATTTTTTTTTACGCGTCCAACTTTTTTTTCTTTTTTTCGAAAGCTATAAATAAGAAGTATAAGAACATAATTCACACGCTACCAACGGAAGAATAAGAACTTACTGCATACTCCGCCGGCGGGGTACGCCGCCGGAACTGTCCGATCAAAGCCCTAAGTCAATCTCTCGCACAATATTAGAAGAAAGGTAAGTAATGAGGATTTCCAGTTACTTCTCTGTTTCTATATTGTACAGGACAAAGACCATGGTATTAGACTATGGGAACTTGTAATATTCATCTTCAAATCAATTTCACTCTTAATATGTTGCTAGGGTTCAAGATGCCAACACTCACTTCAATTCTTGAAAATTAAAGAAGGAGAACGTTTGTCAATTTTTATTAGTAACTGTTTTATATTGTGCAATTCAAGGACAAAGATCATGTTATTGACCGCAAGAACTTGTGAGATTTTGGAGAAAGTTCAATTTCATGGTAATTCTTCACTATCTCATAAGTATTACTGATGCTTGCAGCCACGGCATTATTTGTGTTTTGAATTAGCCATGCGCCACCCACACACAGAACCACCCTTTTCGTGATATTACCCATGCACTCCCTTTTTTCTTATTCTCACTTCTCACTCTGCTCCGTTTTATACACAATGAAGATTTCGAGGTTTTCATCCGTCGATGTTCAATAAAGCATGTTATCTCCTGAGTTAAACAACTGTTGCTAGGCACTGCACTTCAGGTGGGTCTATGAGATTTTAGGATAAGTCCTTCTCTTTGTCTTTCTTCTCTGTTTCATAGTCAATCTGTTTCTTGCAGCTATGCTGCGTTTCAAAGCTTTTTGAGTTAATTGTGTTTCTGTGTTGGAAAGTGTTTTTTTTTGGTTGTTACTTTAACCACCTTTTGAAGAAGATAAACGACCTTTCACTATTCTTGACTTATTACTCTCTCTGGTGTAACTCAAAAAGCAATCAAATATGTCCTCCTTTGAGCTGCTTGGCACGGCAACTCAGGTGGGTCTATCAAACTTAATAGATAGTTCCATTTTATGGTGTATATTCTCCGTGTCGTAAGACTAACTGATGCTTGCCGCCACGATAAATACCACTGCTTTTGAGCTGATACTTGTTTGGGCTTTTGGCAATATTCATTTTCTTTACCCCTCCACACCACCCTTTTCGTGAAATTACACATGACCTTCCACTTTCTTATTCTTATTGTTCTCTTTGCTCCATTTATAAACCATGAGGATATGGAGTTTTTGTTTCGTGGAAGTTTTGTAAAACTTGTTTTCTCTCTAGCTGAGTAACTGGGACATGGCACAGCAAATCAGGTGCGCATCTATGAGATTTTGGGAAACAATTTTAATTTCTTAGTGTTTCTCCTCTTTCTCAATAGGCTAACTGATATTTGCAGCCACAACGGATTTCCAAGTTGTTGAGCTATTTGTGTTTTGGCTTCAGAAAGTTCAGTTTTTTCCTCATCAACCTACCCTTTCGCAAGTTCCCTAGTTTTTTTATTTTTCTCTCTGGTTTTACTGAAAATGGCCATCAAACATGTTATTTCTTGAGCTGAAAATTGTTGCTTGGCATGGCACCTCAGGTGGGGATCTGGGAGATTTTGGATAAAGTTCCATTTTATGGAGTTTCTTCACTATCTCATAAGGCTAATTGAGGCTTGCAGCCATGACAGATTTCTAAGCTTTTGAGCTGATTCATGTTTTAACTTAGCCATGCTTTCGCCCCTCTCAGAACCACCTTTTTTTCGTGATATTACTCTTGCACTCCCTCTTTTCTTATTCTTATTACTCACTCTGCTCCGTTTTATATACAATGAAGATGTGGAGGTTTTCATCTGTCGATGTTGAAACATGTTTTCTCTCGAGCTAATTAGCTGTTGCTAGCACGACACATAATCTGTTTCTTGCAGCCATGCTGCGTTCAAAGCTTTTGTATTGATCGTGTTTTGGCGTCGGTAAGATTTTTTTTTCACTTTAACCACCTTTTTTGTGAAAGTACACGACCTTCCACATTCCTTTTCTTATTACTCCCTCCGGTATATCTCAAAAAGCAATCAAACATGTTCTCTCTTTAGCTAGAGAACTGTTGATTGGCATGGCAACTCAGGTGGGTCTATCAGACTTAAGAGGAAATTCCATTTGATGGTGTATCTTCTCCGTCTCAAAAGGCTAACTGATGCTTGCAGCCACGACAAATTCCAATGCTTTTGAGCTGATTGTTGTTTGGGCTTTTGGCAATGTTCATTTTCTTCCCCCCTCCACACCAAACCACCCTTTTTGTCCACTTCTCTTATTGTTTTTGATTCTTTTTGCTCCATTCTATAAACCACAAGAATATGGAGTTTTTTTTTTTTTGGTGTAAGTTTTGTAAAACTTGTAATCTCTCTAGCTGAGAAACTGGGTCTTGGCACGGCACATCACGTGGGTCTATTGGTGTTTCTTCTCTGTGTCATAAGGCTAACTGATGCTCGCAGTCACGATGGATTTCAAAGCTTTTTAGCTAATTGTGTTTTGGCTTCACAAAGTTCTGTTTTTTTCTCACCAACCCACCCTTTTTCTGAAATTACGCATAATTTTTCTTGCTTTTATTTCTCTCTGGTTTTACTCGAAATGGCAATCAAACATGTTCTCTCCCGAGCTGAAAAACTGTTTCTTGGCATGACACCTCAGTTTGGTTCTCTGAGATTTTGGAGAAAGTTTCATTTCATGATGTTTCTTCACTATCTCACAAGGCTAACTGATGCTTGCAGCCATGACAGATTCCTAAGCTTTTGAGCCATTGCCCCCCCCCCCCCTCCCCTCAGAACCACCCTTTTCGTGATATTTCCAATGCGGAGCTCCTTTCTTGTTCTTATTACTCTCTTGTATAACTCAAAAAACAATCAAATATGTCCTCCTTTGAGCTGCTTGGCACGGCAACTCAAGTGTGTCTATCAGACTTAAGAGAAAGTTCCATTTTATGGTGTATCTTCTCCATCTCATAAGGCTAACTGTTGCTTGCCGCCACGATAAATTCCAATGCTTTTGAGCTGATACTTGTTTGGGCTTTTGGCAATATTCGTTTTCTTTACCCCTCCACACCACCCTTTTCGTGAAATTACACATGACCTTCCACTTTCTTATTTTTATTGTTCTTTTTGATCCATTTATAAACCGTGAGGATGTGGAGGTTCTTTTTTGTGGAAGTTTTGTAAAACTTGTTTTCTCTCTAGCTGAATAACCAGGACATGGCACAGCAAATCAGGTGCGTCTATGAGATTTTGGGAAACAATTTTCATTTCTTAGTGTTTCTCCTCTTTCTCAATAGGCTAACTGATTTTTGCAGTCACGATGGATTTCAAAGCTGTTGAGCTATTTGGGTTTTGGCTTCACAAAGTTCAGTTTTTTCCTCATCAACCTACCCTTTCGCAAGTTCCCTTGTTTTTATTTCTCTCTGGTTTTACTGATAATGGCCATCAAACATGTTCTTTCTTGAGCTGAAAATTGTTGCTTGGCATGGCACCTAAGGTGGGGATCTGGGAGATTTTGGATAAAGTTCCATTTCATGGAGTTTCTTCACTATCTCATAAGGCTAACTGAGGCTTGCAACCATGAGAGACTTCTAAGCTTTTGAGCTGGTTCGTGTTTTAACTTAGCCATTCTTTTCGCCCCTCTCAGGAATCAACTTTTTCGTGATATTACTCTTGCACTCCTCTTTTCTTATTCTTATTACTCACTCTACTCCGTTTTATATACAATGAAGATGTGGAGGTTTTCATCTGTCGATGTTGAAACATGTTTTCTCTCGAGCTAATTAGCTGTTGCTAGCACGACACATAATCTGTTTCTTGCAGCCATGCTGCGTTTTAAGCTTTTGTATTGATCGTGTTTTGGCGTCGGTAAGATTTTTTTTTTCACTTTAACCACCTTTTTAGTGAAAGTACACGACCTTCCACATTCCTTTTCTTATTACTCCCTCCGGTATATCTCAAAAAGCAATCAAACATGTTCTCTCTTTAGCTAGAGAACTGTTGATTGGCATGGCAACTCAGGTGGGTCTATCAGACTTAAGAGGAAATTCCATTTGATGGTGTATCTTCTCCGTCTCAAAAGGTTAACTGATGCTTGCAGCCACGACAAATTCCAATGCTTTTGAGCTGATTGTTGTTTGGGCTTTTGGCAATGTTCATTTTCTTCCCCCCTCCACACCAAACCACCCTTTTTGTCCACTTCTCTTATTGTTTTTGATTCTTTTTGCTCCATTCTATAAACCACAAGAATATGGAGGTTTTTTTTGGTGTAAGTTTTGTAAAACTTGTTTTGTCTCTAGCTGAAAAACTGGGTCTTGGCACGGCAATACGTGAGTCTATTGGTGTTTCTTCTCTGTGTGATAAGGCTAACTGATGCTCGCAGCCACGATGGATTTCAAAGCTTTTGAGCTAATTGTGTTTTGGCTTACAAAGTTCTGTTTTTTTCTCACAAACCCACCCTTTTCTGAAATTACGCATAATTTTTCTTGTTTTTATTTCTCTCTGGTTTTACTCGAAATGGCAATCAAACATGTTCTCTCCTGAGCTGAAAAACTGTTTCTTGGCATGGCACTTCAGTTTGGGTCTCTGAGATTTTGGAGAAAGTTCCATTTCATGATGTTTCTTTACTATCTCACAAGGCTAACTGATGCTTGTAGTCATGACATATTGCTAATCTTTTGACCTGATACGTGTTTTGACCTAGCCATTGCCCCCCTCCCCCCCCCCCCCCCCCCAGAACCACCCTTTTGTGATATTACCCATGCGGAGCTCTTTTCTTGTTCTTATTACTCTCTCTGGTATAACTCAAAAAACAATCAAATATGTCCTCCTTTGAGCTGCTTGGCACGGCAACTCAGGTGTGTCTATCAGACGTAAGAGAAAGTGCCATTTTATGGTGTATCTTCTCCGTCTCATAAGGCTAACTGTTGCTTGCCACCACGACAAATTCCAATGCTTTTGAGCTGATACTTGTTTGGGCTATTGGTAATATTCATTTTCTTTACCCCTCCACACCACCCTTTTCGTGAAATTACACATGACCTTCTACTTTTCTTATTCTTATTGTTTTCTTTGCTCCATTTATAAACCATGAGGATTTGGAGGTTTTTTTTGTAGTACTTGTTTTCTCTTGAGCTGAATAATCGGGACTTGGCACAGAACATCAGGTGTGTCTTTGAGATTTTGGAAAACAATTTTCATTTCTAAGTAATTCTCGTCTGTCTCAAAAGGCTAACTGATTTTTGCAGCCATGGAGGATTTCAAAGCTGTTGAGCTGTTTGTGTTTTGGCTTCGCAAAGTTCAGTTTTTTCCTCATCAAACCTTCCCTTTCGCAAGTTTTCTTGTTTTTATTTTTCTCTCTGGTTTTACTCAAAATGGCAGTCAAACATGTTCATTCGTGAGCTGAAAAATTGTTGCTTGGCATGGCACCTCAGGTGGTGGTGGTCTGTGAGATTTTGGATAAAGTTCCATTTCATGGTGTTTCTTCACTATCTCATAAGGCTAACTGAGGCTTGCAGCCATGACAGAATTCTAAGCTTTTGAGCTGAATCGTGTTATAACTTAGCCATGCTTTTCCCCTCTCAGAACCACCCTTTTCGTGATATTACCCTGTCACTCCCTCTTTTCTTTTTCTTATTAGTCACTCCGCTCCGTTTTATATACAATGAGAATGTGGAAGTTCTCATCTGTCGATGTTGAAATATGTTTTCTCTCGAGCTAATTAGCTGTTGCTAGCACGACACTTAATCTGTTTATTGCAGCCATGCTGCGTTCAAAGCTTTTGTATTAATCGTGTTTTGCGTTGGTAAGATTTCTTTTTGTGACTTCAATGACCACCTTTTTAGTGAAAGTACACGACCTTCCACATTGCTATTTTTATTATTCCCTCTGGTATAACTCAAAAAGCAATCAAAGGTGTTTTCTTTTTAGTTAGAGAACTGTTGCTTGGCATGCAACTCAGGTGGGTCTGTCAGACTTAAGAGGAAGTTCCATCTGATGGTGTATCTTCTCCGTCTCAGAAGGCTAACTGATGCTTGCAGCCACAACAAATTCCAATGCTTTTGAGCTGATTGTTGTTTGGGCTTTTGGCAATAAAATTTCCACTTCTCTTATTGTTTTTTTTTCTTTTTGCTCCATTCTATAAAACCACAAGAATATGGATCTTTTTTTTTTTTTGGTGTTAGTTTTGTAAAACTTGTTCCCTCTAGCTGAAAAACTTGGTGTTGGCACGACACATCACGTGGGTATATGAGATTTAAGAAAATAATTTCAAAGCTTTTGAGCTAATTGTGTTTTGGCCTCACAAAGTTCTGTTTTTTCCTCACCGACCCACCCTTTTTCTGAAATTACACATAATTTTTCTTGTTTTTATTTTTCTATCTGGTTTAACTCGAAATGGCAATCAAACATGTTCTCTCCTGGGCTGAAAAACTGTTTCTTGGCATGGCTTTTGACCTGATTCCCCCCCCCCCCCCTCAGAACCACCCTTTTCGTGATATTATCCATGCGGAGCTCGTTTCTTGTTTTTATTACTCACTCTGTTCCGATTTATACACAATGAAGATTTGGAGGGTTTCATCTGTTGATGTTCAATCAAACATGTTATCTCTCGAGCTAAACAACTGTTGCTTGGCATGGCACTTCAGGTGGGTTTATAAGACTTTAGGAAAATTCCATTTCTTCTCTGTCTCATAATCAATCTGTTGTTTGCAGCCATGCTGCGTTTCAAAGTTTTTGAGCTAATCGTGTTTTGGCGTCGGAAAAATTGTTTTTGTCACTATAACTACCTTTTTGGGGAAAGTACGCGACCTTCCACTTTTTTGTTCTTTTAACTCTCTCTGGTATAACTCAAACTGCAATCAAACATGTTCTCTCTTGAGCTAGAAAACTGTGGCTTGGCATGGCAACTCAGGTGGGTATATCAGACATAAGAGGAAGTTCCATTTCATGGTATTCTCCACCTCATAAAGCTAACTATGCTTGCAGCCACGGCAAATTCCAATGCTTTTGATCTGATTCTTGTTTGGGATTTATGCAATGTTCATTTTCTTTCCCCCTTCACACCAAACCACCCTTTTTCATGAAATTACACACGGACTACCACTTCTCTTGTTCTTATTATTCTCCACACCAAACCACCCTTATCGTGAAAGTGCTCAACTGATAGGACACTTTCCGGTTTTATAGATTTTCTTCATTTGCATGCAGTGAGGAGGACCTACTTTGAACACGTGCATATCCTTCTCCATTGCGAGTATTTTCCAGTGGGTTTGGGATTCCTCTGAGTTCCCTTAATCAAATTGAATGCAGGCGATGGTTCATTCAAGCTCTAAGGTTACCTGATGTTTATACAGTGAAGGTATAAGATGTGATAAGTTTATCTTTTCTATTCTCTGTTTTCCTAACAACCACTATTTAATTTGCAGGTCCTTCAATTTTTTGTGTATCCAATTGTTTCAGTATACTTTCCTGGACAAAGAAACCTGAAAACTAACCTTTGGTTAGCATTTACTATATTGGATGCTTGCTTTTTACGGTGTTTTTGTTTTCCTTGACCTCCGTAATGCAGATATCAATTCAAGATTTGTTTCCAAAGGACCAATACATAAATTACTCAATAACATAACGACGAGTTTTGACAGTGCTTCTGAAAGTGAGCAGTGAAGTAAATCTCAGATATATCCATTGTTTTTGTTGAACCTAAACTGCCCTAGATCTTTATATGATTCGATTTTGGAGCGTTCAAAGACCTCTGTGGAATTTAAGGCGCGAGATCTTTTGATGACATATATTATTTATTAAATAATTGTTTTGGGGTTGGGAAACAAGTGTAAGTCTTTGGATTTTTTTTTTTGTATAATTGAGTTTGTGTTAAGGCTTGTTTTGTGAGAATTAGTTTGGGTTGTTTTCTGAAAAAAATATTTTAAAACACCTAATCATTTTTGAAACTCTAATGTGGGTGATAAATAGGTTAAAACTGGCTAAACATCACTATTTATTACTAATTGTATAGGATTTCAATGTATTAAAAAGGAGCCCCTGTTTAATAAGAGCCCCTGACAGCCAAGGCCTTTGCGTTGCAATGTTCCCGTAGAACAAAATTATCTCTCACTTGCTTTGGGAGAACAGTACAAAACCACGTCTCTAGATTCTTTTGGTTGCAAAACACAACAGGCCAATGTTAACAAGGACATTTCATACATATTTATTTTACTGATTAGAGTGTTGTATTTCTTTATTACAATGTGTTTGCTGCTTTTAAGACTGACAATTCTTCCAGTTTGAATTAACTCTCCTGATTTTTGCTTGCCGATCATTCCTGACCTGAATAAGAGCATGGGGAGTCAAAAGGAGTACACACGACGGAGAGTCAAAAGAAGGTAAGCCAACTATTCCCGACCTCAATTAGAGCTGAATTTTTCTTGTGCATGTTTTAGTTATTTAGTTTCATTTCTTTCACGCAATTTTCAAGAGTATCATAGATTGCATTGTTATTAATCATGAAAACATTAGAGATTACAATGTCTATTTTAGGTCTCCTAGGTCACAATCTCTTTCAAATTCCATCTTGCTTTTGTTCTGATCTTGTAATAGAATCGTTTTTACTCAAATTTTCAGAATTTGCTGCAATAAAAACCTAAAGTTCTTAGATTCTGGGACAAAATTTGCTCCATCCAGAGATTACAGTCGAGAACCTCTTACGACACTTATTACTTATTCTCTTCAACATTTGTATTCTTCCCTCTGAAGGATATATACCTTTCTAGATGTGGAAAACTAAGAACGACATGCACTTCGTCAATAGCTTAGTTTATATCTGTTCTATGCTCTATCTTGTTGAAAGCAAGAAGGATTTGTGAGGGTTTAAGCCTTTTAAGTGTCATTTGTTCGCATTCTCTCTTAATGGTCCATTTTATGTTTTAATTGGGTTGATTATAGGAAGTGAATTATGAATTATAACTTATAAGGGAACAGTTTTTTTTGTTCTAATACCATCTGTATTAAGACAATGTTCTCTCCTTTTGAATTATAAGGCCTAGAAGCTTGAATAGTTTCCAACTTAATTTGGAAAACTATTCATGAAATCATTCATGCTTTAATAATTGTTGTCTTGATAATACAGTTTTCGTGTATTTTATGCGTTAAACTAACTGATGAGGATCTGGTAGAATTTATTTGACAGGTTAGTCCATTGACACTAACTGGCTTATATTTTACTCCTTCATTAACTCTAATCTTCCTTATGGAATCTTGCTTAAATGCCGTGTCACGTTCTCGGAATAATGTATTTGCAACCCACAGCTTGCTGAGACAGCTGGATCATCAACTGTACCCTATCAGTGAATCAGGTCCTGAATGGCTTGCAGGAGTAAGTTGATTTTTAATTTATGAATCTGGAGCTATCTTGATGCTCTCACCTCCACCCACACCCCCACATAAGAAAAAAGAGAACAGTGAATTAAAACCAAAAGTGATTTAAGATATTTTTCCTTATTCCTGCTGTCTATGTTTTCCTGTGTTTGAACAATAACTTCAATATGGATAGAGTGGAACAGATATAGAGGAATGAAGATCAATATACCAGGGCAACTAATTTTTGGGGTGAAGCATAACTGATGGATTGATTCCTGATATTGTCATTCTATTTATTTATATATTTTCGTAGAGGCATATGTTTGGAGATGCATTGTTGCCTTCAGAATGTTCTCTCATTGTTGAGGAGTTGAAGCAGACTTCATTGTCTTTTCAGGTGAAAGGAAAATTGCATTGTAGGAAATATCTGAGTTGGAACTCCATTTAATGGTATGTTTAAGAGAAAATTGCAATTATTAATGATATCTTTTCATTTGTTAGAAGCTCATGGCTGACCGACTACTATCCCTCTTGTCAACATGAGAAAATTTCAAAGTTAGGTTCGTGGAGTAGGAGTTCCTCTGAGGATACTTCCTGTCTGGTTTACTTCGAAAGCTGTATTTTGATTTGATTGATCAATCATTTGGTTTGGTTATATATCTTGAAGTCCAAATAGGTTCTTGTATTCTCCGAAAGAGTCTCCGCTAAGAATTTCCCTTGCGCATCCCTGTTGCTCCTTCAATATTTTTGATACTGAAAGTGGTCCGTCTTTGATTCACCAGCTAACTTGAGGACAATTCAGGTCTGGTTTCTTCCATTTTGTTCATTTTCTTATGGTGAGGATGACCTGATTTGCACACGTGCTTCTTCTTCTCATTGCCGCTGTTGTCCAGTGGGGATTTCTCCAAGTTCCCTTAACAAATTGAATGCAAGCATAGGGGCATTCAAGCTTTCAGGATACATCTCAGGTCCTGATGTTTACACAGTGGAAGTATACATGCATGGATAAAGAGCTGTTATAAGTTATCTTTTCTACACTTTGTTTCTTTAACAACCACTGTAGGTCATTCAGTATTTCTGTATCCACTTATTTCAGTATATTGTCCTGACAAAGAAAAACGGAAAACTAATCTTTGGTTAACATTTACTAAATTATATGCTTGTTTTTTGACGGTGTTTTTGTTTTCCTTGAACTTCGTTATGCAGGTATCAATTCAAGATTTGTTACCAAAAAGGACCAGTACAAGAATCACTTAATAACATAGCTATGAGTTTGGAAAGTGCTTCTGACATTGAGCAGCGAAGTAGATATATTAACTGTTTTTGTTGAATCTAAACTACCCAAGATAAATTTTTTTTGATCCGACTTTGGAGCCTTCAAAGATGTCCGTGGAACCTAGGTGTGCTTTTTGTTGGCATTTATGACTTAGATTCCTGTTTTTTGCTTACGCAATCATTTCTGCTTCCCTTTAAATAATTTTGCAGTCTTTTTTTTCTTTTGACAATTTTACAATAATTTTTGTAAATTTAGATATTTGCTACATCAATCTTCTTGGAGCCTTGCTATCTTTTGGAGATTGTGACATCCAGTTGTATATTAATTTTTGAGTGGGATCAGGGTAGAGGGTTGGCATATATTCTCAGGAGTTTTAAACTATTAGGTTAATCTAGGCCAATCTAATTCACAAGAAAAAATTCTGCTTTTCAGAAAAAATAGAGCCCTACCAAAACATTTAGGTCGATTTTCATTCTTCAGCTGTGAAGGTTGGAAACACAGCTTTGACCTATGAAGTATGTTATTGCTATTGATCTTTGGCATTATTCTAGAGACTGAAGAGCTGAAAATGTTGCTTGGCGTGACAGTTGGGTGGTTGTATGTGATTTAGTAGAAAGTTCCATTTCATAGTGCATCTTCTCTGTCCCATAAGGCTAAATGCTTCCTGCAGCCATGACAGATAACAAAGCTTTTGTCCTGATTCGTGTTTTGGCTTGGCAAAGTTAAGTTCCCTCACCCCCCCCCCCCCACCCCCCCACCCACACCAAACCACCCTTTTTTAAAAATTACACATGACCTTTCTCTTTTCTTATTCTTATTACTATCTCTGATCCATGTTATAAACCATGAGGATGTGGAGGGTTTGTCTTATGTGGAAGCTCAATAGAACTTTGTATGATTTCACAAGGGTTGTTGAGGAGTTGGTTTTCAACAGCCTCGATGCAGATACCACCAAGGTGTACTAATTTACCCTTTCAAAGTTTCAATATTTTTTTATGCTTTATTAGGTATGTAGAGTTATTTATATTGGTGCTTAGGTTTTTATAGCCCAGCTTATGTAGACTGTATATGTGTCTGTTTCTTTGTTTCTTTCATCTTCTGTTATGCTTCATTTTCGTCTGACCATTTTAACTATAGTTTCATATGCTTGCTTTACACCAGCGACATCAAACTATTGCCTTTCAGATGATATGCATGCTTTCCCTGCAAGCTTTGGCCTTAAAGGAGAGGCTCTGGGCTCCACTTCTGACATTTCTTTGTTGGAAATTGTTACTAAAAGTCACGGGAGGCCAGATGGATATCGTAATTTTTTGAAGGTAAAGTTGTTTTGAGTGTTAGTTGGTCATATCCATTAGGATAGGTATAAAACTACTATCTTGGTCTTTGTTCTTGCCATTGTTACAGGGCAGATTTTGTAGACAAGATGTTGGTGCAACAGGGAATTAATGTATAAGCCTATCTCACACAGGAGTTGATTTTTGTTTGCTAGTAAGGAAATTTGTTGAGATTTTTCTCTTTGCGGTTGTTGTTCATGATGTAGTTTTACAACCAACTAGTTCGAAGGAACCAAATGCAGTACTTCTAGTATGCTCACAATTCAAACAAATAAAAATATTGATTTACTTACTTTACTTCTAAAGCTATATTGATCTTTTAGTTTTCATATATAATCTTGAAGCCCAAAGAAGGTCTTGCTTTCTCTAAAAGTGTCTCTGCTAAGAATCTCCCTTGTGCATTCCAGTATCTCCTTTAAAATTGTTGATATTGAAAGGTGTGTTTGTTGTACCACTAACTTTAGGTTTTTACCTATCTGGTTTCTTACATTTTGTTGTTCATTTGCATGTCATGAGGATGACCTGCTTTGCACACATGCTTCTCCTTCCCCATTGCCGCTATTGTCTAGTGGGTTTGGGTTTCATCTTAGTTCCCTTAATAAATTGAATGCAAGCGATGGTTTATTCTAGCTCTCTGGATACATCTCAGCTCATGATGTTTACACAATGTAGGTATAACGGCCCAAATTGATGGATAAAAGATGTGGTAAGTTATTTTTTCTACACTTTGTTTCCCCTAAAAACCATTTCAACTTGCAGGTCCTTCAATATTTCTGTATCCAATTAGTTCAGTACATTTTCCTGACCTGAGAAAATGGAAAACTAATCATTGGTTAACATTTATTATATTTGATGCTTGTTTTGTACAGGGCGAAATGGTCTGATGGACCCATATACTTGTATGAGTTTATATTCTGACCTTTTAACTTTGCTCTTTGTCAACTGAATCTTTTAACTCAATAAATCTCAACATTTTAAATCCCATTGGCTTTGTGTGAACTTCAAACGCCCAATGAAAATGACATATCCTCATCCACATCAGATTTTACCTGACACATTATTTATTATTTAATTTTTTAAAAAAGTTAATTTTTTCTTCTTTTTCACTCCATTACTCCATAGTTACTTGAGCAACTTCTAGAATTCTTTCTTCCATTGATATCAATGAATCACCATTACAATACCTTAATATATCTTAGTATTTGCACATAATTTCACAATATACTTTATCTAATTTCCCAAAGATATTCAACAATTACTTTCACCATTACCCTATAAAAATGAAAAGAAAGATAAATAAAGAACAATTTTGATAACAAAAGAGGTCAAGATACTTATGTTTCTTCCGACAACTGTGTATCGCAACAATTTTTTGAATTTTCCTTTGTTTATTATGTTCAATGTTTTTGCACAATTTCGTTTTAATTTAGGGGAAAGAGAAAAAGAAATTGGAAAGGAGCGGAGAAAGGGAGAAAGAGCGAATGGGGGTATGGGTATAGGATAGGGAAACTGAAGTAATGGTAGAAGAGGAAAAGAAACGGGGATGGGTGGGGGATAGGAGAAAGAATGATATATTTATTTTAATAATTGTCTTCTGTTTATTCTATTTGTTCTTTAAACTATTTTTAGTCTAAATTCTAGTGTCTACGCTCTTTTTGGCGTGGAATCTTGTATTTATTCTAACTCATTAATCAAGTTACCACATAAGCACGGTCAACGGTTGAAGGGATTTAAAATGTTAAATTTCATTGAGTTAGAGAGTTCAATTGACAAAGTTCTAAGTTCAAAGGTTCAAAATACAAATGCATACAAGTACGAGAGGACCGTTTCGCCTTTTGTGCAGTGTTTTTGTTTTCCTTGACCTTCGTAATGCAAATATCAATTCAAAATTTGTTTCCAAAGGACTAATACATATCTTACTTATAATAACATAAATATGTGTTTTAAAGATGCTTCTAACATGGAGCAACGAAGTAGATCTCAGATGAATTCATTGTTTTTGTTTATCCTGAACTTCCCAAGATCTTTATATGATTTGAATTCTAGAGCCTTCAAATGACCTCTGTGGAATGTAAGGCGAGATTTTCAGTTGGCACTTATTATTTACTCCTATTTAAAAAAGAATTGTGAGAAATATGGGGAAAAAATAATATTGAATTGTTGTTTTTTACATTATCACGTTGAGAACCTATTTATAGACCTTAAAATACAATCCTTTACCAAGTAGGATACCATTTAGTATTTCTATTCCTATTCTAATAGGATTGTATAAACCTAAACATATTCCTATTCCAATAGGATTGTATAAACATATTCCTATTCTAACACTCCTCCTAAAGTTAGTGCGTGCAATTCATGTGTACCTAGCTTGTTACAAATGTAATTAACATGGTGACCGATGAGGGGCTTGATGAGATATTTGCGAACTTCACAAAATTGACGGTCATTCTCAATGTGCATGTCTTCTCATTAAATATTGGATTTGATGCATAATGTCAGTCAATCTCAGTGTGCTTAATCTTCGCATGAAATACTGAATTTGATGAATATTTGATGCATAATGTTGGTGTTGAACTTTCCAAACCAAGCTTGAGAAATATTGTTCTAGACCATGGAGTGATTTGCACAATCGACATGCAAGTCTACTGAACTCCCCTGAGCAACAAAGTGCTCAAAACCTAGTATATGTATATGGATCTTGTCGGAATCAATAGATGAGTCGATATTAAACAAGTCACAGAAAAACTGGTTGGAACATATGATCATATGTCAGAGTATTAAATTTGATGGCTAAAAGTGGTCACAATCTTAGGAATAAAATTATATAGGTAGGGTCGGAATGATGTCACGACCCAACTAGAAAATAGAAATTAAATATGATAGTTTGAATTGATGGAGCAACCCCGTTGAAAAAGAGAAGTAACATGGCACAACCTTAATGAAAAAGAAAAATTATATAGGTTGGATTGAAATGATCGCATAACCTACGCAAATCAAATTTGAGGAGTCACTGGAAAGACGAATGGAACTATGCAAATCGAATATGAGTCATTGAAAAGACACATGATGCTATGCAACTCAGATATGAGAAAATAGTCGGTAAAAATCACGGTACTATACAAATTAAATATGAAAAGTAGTCTGAAGAGATGCACGGTGCTACGCAAATCAGATATGCGATAAAAAGGTAGTCACCGAGAGGATGGTACTGTGCTACACAAATTATATATGAATAAGCAGCCACTATAATGATGGCACAGTGCTACACAAATTAAATATGAAAAAATGCTCATCATAATGATGGCACGGTGCTACAAAAATTAAATATGAAAAACTAGTCACTAAAATGATGGCACGGTGCTACACAAATTAGATACAAAAAAGTAGTCATTGGAATGATGACACGGTGCTACACAAATTAGATATGAGAAAATAATCACCACAAAGATACACGGTGACCCAACTTTTGCTAATATAATCATTAGCCAGAGGGGTGGGCCACCGGCAGTGGAAACTCTTTGATTTTCTACCAAGATCGTAGAAGCTCTGATACCATGTGAGAAATATATTGAATTATTGTTGTTCTTTTACATTATTACATTTGTGAGAAATATAGGAAAAAGATATTATTGAATTGTTATGTCTACATAATAACATTGAGACCCTATTTATAGACCATAGAATACAATCCTTTATCAAGTAAGATACTATTTAGTATTCCTATTCTAATAGGATTGTAATAACCTATTCCTATTCCAATAGGATTGTATAAACCTATTCCTTTTCCAACACTCCCCCTCAAGCTAGTGCATACAATTCATGCACCTGAACTTGTTACAAATGTAATTATCACGAGAACTGCTGAGGGGCTTGGTGAGATATCTGCAAGTTGATCAATGGACTTCACAAAAAATTGACGATCAATCCTAATGTGCTTGTCTTCTCATTAAATACTGGATTTGATGCATAATATCAGTAAAAATAGAGATAAAATTCTAGTATTGAACTTCCCAAACCGAACCTGCAAAGACTGCTTTAGACCATAGAATGACTCACTTATACAAGTCTACTAAATTCCCTCCGAGTAACAAAGTGCTCAAAACCTTGTATAAAGTATATAGATCATGTTGGAATCAATTGATGAGTTGATATTAAAACAAGTTACCGATAAATTGGCTTGAACATGCTCATATATCATAGTATTAGATTTGATTGCTAAAAGTGGCCACAATCTAAGAAATAAAATTATATAGGCAGAGTCAGAATGATGTCACAACCGAACTAGAAAATAGAAATTAAATAGGATAGTTCGAATTGATGGAATGATCCCATTGAAAAAGAAAAATAATATGGGTAGGGTTGGAATGATGGCATAACCCTACGCAAATCAGATCTAAGGAGTCACCGGAAAGACGAATGGAACTATGCAAATCAAATCCGAGTCACTGAAAAGACACATGATGTTATGCAACTCAGATATGAGAAAATAGTTCGAAAAAATTCACGGTACTGCACAAATTAAATATGAAAAGTAGTTCAGGAGATGCACGGTGCTACGCAAATCAGATATGCAAAAAAAAACATAGTCATCCAAAAGATGGCACGGTGCTACACAAATTATATATGAAAAAGTAGTACTTGAATGATGACACAGTGGTACACAAACTAAATATGAAAAGTAGTCACCGAAATGATAGCACGGTGCTACACAAATTAAATATGAAAAAGTAGTCACCGGAATGATGGCACGGTGCTACACAAATTAAATATGACAAAAGTAGTCACCGAAATGATGGCATGGTGCTACACAAATTAAATATGAAAAAAGTAGTCACTGGAATGATAGTGCGGTGTTACACAAATTAGATGTGAAAAAATAGTCACCAGAAAGATACACAGTGACTCAATTTTTATTTTTTTTGCTAACATAATCATTGGCCGGAGGAGCGGCATATGAGTAATAGCCGCCCGCCGGCAGCGGAAGCTCTTTGATTTTCCACCAAGATTGTAGGGGCTCTGAAACCATGTTAGAAATATAGGGAAAAATATTATTGAATTGTTGTTGTGTCTACATAATAACATAAAGACCCTATTTATAGACCATAGAATACAATCCTTTATCAAGTGGGATACTATTATCCTACTTAGTATTCCTATTCCTATTCTAATAGGATTGTATTAATCTATTTCTATTCCAATAGGATCGTATAAACCTATTCCTATTCTAACAACATTGAGACCCTATTTATAGATCCAATCCTTTACCAAGAAGGATACTATTTAGTAATCATATTCCTATTTTATAGAATTGTATAAACCTATTCCCATTCTAATAGGATTGTATAAACCTATTCCTATTCCAATAGGATTGTATAAACCTATTTCAATTCTAACAAGAATGACCCAATTTCTTTTTTAGTTTGTTTAAAAGAGAATGACACCTTTCCTTTTTTAGCAACACTTTAACTTCAACTTTCCACATGGCATGTTTAAGGCCACAAGATTAAAGGACATTTTTGGTACATTTTACATAATTTTAATTAAGAACCACAAAATTAAAAAGTCTTCTTACTTTTCTTAAACTCCGTTCCAAGTCAAAGTAGACCATTCTTTTTTAAACAAAGGGAGTAATTTTTTTGGGGTTGGGAAACGAGTGTGAGCATTAGGATTTATTTTGTAGATTTGAGTTTGTGCTAGGGCTTGTTTGTGATTTTGGTTTGGATTGTTTTCTGTTAAAAAATATTTGAAAACACCCAATCACTTTTTGAAACTCTAACGTGGGTTAAATAAATAGGTTAAAACTGGCTAAACACTATTTGTTATTCCTAATCGTGTTGGACTCCGAACTATTAAAAAGGAGCCTCTGACAGGCAAGGCCTTGCGTCACAGATGTTCGCGTAGAACAAAATGAGCTCCCTTTGTTATGGGAGAACAATGCAAAACCACGTTTCTAGCTTCTTTTGGTTGCAAAACCATATAGGCCAATGCTAACTAGTAAATGTCATACATATTTGTTTCTTGATTGGAGTGTAGTATTTCTTATTATAATGTGTTTGTTGCTTCTAAGGAGGACAATTCTTGCAGTTTGAACGTAGTCTCCTTATTTTTGCTTACCGAATCTTCTTTTGCTTTCCTTTAAATGGATTTTGCAATAATTTTCAAAAATTTTGTCAATTTTTCATAGATCTAGATGCTACATCAATCTTCTTGGAGTCTTGTTATCTTAAAGAGATCGTGATATCCAGCTGCATATTGATTTTTGATTTCTGACCAAGTATTTTAAAAGGATATGGTTCTTTGTTGTTTCTCTCTGATTTCTTGAAGTTTCTAATAGAAAATTTATTGCATACAGTGGTAGTCCTTATTAAGAAGTTTGTGATATTTTTGTTCCTGCACCACGAGAAGAATATTTGTCACGGGATGTATATTTTTCTCATAAGTATCAATTTTGGGTTGTACTAGCCCCAGAGCTTTGGTCAGTGATGATGACTCAAAACGGGATGTGAAGGGAATATGTCACAAGTTTGAAACCTATCATCGACAATGAGCCTGATATATAAGTGAGATCAGGGTAGAGAGGTGCCTCCAATTCTTAGAAGTTTCAAACTTGTAGGTCAATCAAAGCAGTCTAATTCACAAGATAATTTTATGTTATTTGAACAAAAATTGAGCCCTAATATGACTGAGACAAGTATTAGAGAAGGAAGGGACCCCAATCCTGCCATAAGGAATATGAATGTTGAAGAGAATAAGCTTATGGTGGCTGGTTGGTTCTTCATGTTACTTGTAGGATTGGGGCCGTCCTTCTCTTTATTGAGGATACTGTCGTGAGGAAGTAACTCTTGGTGAGAGCAATTGTACCCGACATTTTTATGCAACATAACTTGGGATTCATTGTAAATTTGGCTTTGTTTTCTCCACATTCCCTTCCCTGTAAGATGTAGCACCCCACTGCCTCCCTAGAAGAGGAGGGTGGGGGGAAGGAAACAAATTGTAGAAGGTTGGTTAGTGGAAGAGACAGTTAATTATGTATTTCAGTGTTATGTCCATCGTGTAGTTGTATAACTTACTTTTCTCTTAAGCTACTTTAAGAAAACCTAGATAAGATTTTAGTTTTGGAAATATCTTCCTCATCTATTGCTATTCCATTCCCTGCTGCTCTTTTTTGATTTACCTGTGAGTTATGTGATCAGGAAAAAGAGGTTCAGGCTTAGAGTTGCAAAGCTTCACTTTCTTCCCTGCAGCCAAAGAAACTTACTGGAGAGTGCATTCAGTAGAGAGATTCAATCTTCACAGAATATTCTGTGCAGAAGTGCTTCTGAAAAGCATGATCCGGAGTCCAGATTCCTCTGTCAGAGCAAAAGTTCAAGTCGATCAATTGGCTCTCCTGCTCATTGCACAGCTGGCGTGAACTGGAAATCCAAAAGCTCTGCGCAACCCCTTTCATCTAATATTTTACCTAGAGAGGATGATTTCCTGGATAACAAATTCAGTGCTTCAGTTAGATCCAACTATAAATCTGACTGTGAGGCAGGTTCAGGATGGGAGGATATGATTTTCAAACAATTGTAGCTGGCAGTTCTAGAGAGGATGCTTATTTAGGGTATCACTTGAACTTGATGACAGTTCAAATGTGATGCATGAGAGAAGGAAAACATTTATTTGGAGCTGTTCTTAATTTGCACAGAAGCCTGAAACGTGATGGATCATCTCTTGATTGTGATGAAGATCTTAAGTTCGATAAAAGTAACTAAAGGAATAATCAAAATCACCCTGAAGATGATTATAGTGTTGAATTTGAAGTTGCTGATGATGTAAACCTTGTCTTAAATCTAATGTCTCCTAGAGTCGAGGAAATATATTTTGAGAAATTTCTCCTGGTTAGAAACTCAGAGCAAGGCATTGCAGAGGCTAAAATTTGCCTGGAGATTCAGAAAAACTTTATTAACCAAGAACATTCTGGATAAAGATGATCATCTTGTGAATTTCATTAGACAGAACAAAAATTATGGTTCTGGCCTGCTATCTTTTAGTCCAGAACTGTCTCCTCTGCCACCAGATCCTTTGCTCGTGACCAGGTTTCAACATTCATTGTCAAGCTTCAATATCATTTACCAGGTTAGTTAAGTTCTTTATTTAGATTTTCCTCACAATCCATTTATGCAACTTGATAAAATCGTCATTTACCTGAAATTCCATTCCACTAAATTTTGCAACATTTATTGAAGTTGAACCTAACTCTGTCATGAAGTTATATGTTTTGGTTAAAGCGGGAACTTAGATCTGATTGACAAGCAACCAACATCTGTCACGTTTCTTGTGGTAGCATTCTCTAATACCTGATACATTCAAAAAGTTAAAAGTATATGTAATCCATTTGAAAATCAGTCTTATAGGGGAAAGGTAATATAGTATTGATTGTAGTTGTTAATACAGGATTAGGAAGTGACATTAAATATTAGGACTCAAGAATTGAGTTTTGGAATTATTGGGAGTAGAGCTACATTGTGTAGTAAATACACTAGGGCTGGGAGAGATTGCTCACCTACATTCTCGAACCTTGTACTAAACTTTAGAGCCTTTTCTCTTTAGCATTCCTGTTCCTCCCTCTGAAGGATATATGCATGTCTAAGTGTGGAAAACAGAGCATGACAAGCACTTCTTCTCAGTCTAGTTATTCCAATATGAGGTATCTATACAACATTTGCTAAGAGCTAATAGTTCTTTGCTCCATCTAGTTGAAAGCAAGAAGAAATTTGAGGGTTTAAAGCTTTTAAGGTCATTTGTGCATATTGTCTCTTAAGTTCCATTTTATGTTTTAATTGGGTTGATTATATTGTTACTTCTAAGGGAAATTTTTTGTTCTAATACCATCAATAACTAGCCAGCGCTAGAGGTAAGGGACAACATTTGTGCTTACGCAAATACCTTTTTTTACTAACTCTTTTGACTTTTCTCCGACATGAATCCCGATGTAACGTTTAAATCAACTTCCAACCCATAACCCCCGCCGGTGGTCCATCACAGAATCCTCCTCCCCTATTCTTTTTCTGACAATCTCCTTCCACCAAAGCCTCTAGCAGACACCCGCGACCCAACCCCAAAAAAACCCATCCCCATAATTCAAACAAAATAAAAAATATTGATTTACATACTTTACTTCTAAAGTTGTATTCTGTCCTGATTGATCTTTTGATTTGCATATATAATCTGGAAGACAAAGAGGGTCTTGCATTGTCTGAAAGAGTCTTTACTAAGAATCGCCCTTGTGCACTCCTACAAATTTGTTGATATTGAAAGGTCCCTCTTTGTTATTGCAGCTAACTTAAGGATATTTCCTGTTTAGTTTTCTTTTGACTTTGTCCATTTGCATGCAGTGAAGAATGAAGATGACCTGCTTTGCATACATGCTTCTCCTTCTCCTTTGCTGCTATTGTCCAGTGGGTCGGGGAGTCATCTGAGTTCCGTTAACAATTTGAATGCAAGTGATGGTATTTTCGACTCTCAAGAAACATCTCACGTCCTGATGTAAGATATACAGGCTAAAATTGATGGATATAAGATGTGATAAGTAATCTTCTTTACTACACTTTGATTCTCTAACAACCACTGTCTTAGCAGGTCAGTATATTTTTCTCAACAAAGAAAACAGAAAACTAATCTTTGATTAGCATTTATTATATCGGATGCTTGTTTTAATTCAAGATATATTTCCTTGGTAATGAATTTTTTTCTGAATCTCCTGACAAATGTTGACCTCTTTAATGCCTTGCTTTGAAATTTGCATATATTTCCTTGCCTCTAGGAGACATTTGATTTAAGACCTGGCTAACATCATCAGCTACTTCAAATTTAACACTATATTCATCTTCAAGGCGATTTTGTTGATTTCTTAGTTACTTTTGTAATATCTTCATCACTATCAAAAGATAATTTGTCATGAGGATTAGTAGGTTTTGTCTTCCAGTGGAAGTTCAATAAAACTTGTTTTTACTTGAGCTGATTAAAGTGATGCATGCAGCCACGACGGATTTCAATGCTATTGAGCTAATTGTGTTTTGGCTTCGCAAAGCTCAGTTTTGTTTTCTCACCAAGCCACCCTTTTGGTGAAACTACACATGACCTTCCACTTTCGTATTTTTATTACTCTCTCCGGTGTAACTCAAAATTGCAATTAAACCTGTTCTCTCTTGAGCTGAAAGGCGTGGCATGACATCTCAAATGAGTTTGTGACATTTTGGAGAAAGTTTCATTTCATGGTGTTTCTTCACTATCTCATAAGATAATTGATGCTTGCAGCCATGAAAAATTCCTAAGCTTTTTTGAGCTGATTCATGTTTTGACTAAGCAATGCATTCCCCCTCTCTCAGAACCACCCTTTTTGCAAAGCTCAGTTTTGTTTTGACTGAACTTTTCTTATTCTTATTACTCACTCTGCTCCGTTTTAATACACAATGAAGATTTGGAGGTTTTCATCCGTCGATGTTCAATAAAACATATGATCTCTCGAGCTATAAGCAACTGTTGCTAGGTATGGTACTTCAGGTGGGTCTATGAGATTTTAGGAGAAGGTTCTTTTCTTGGTCTTTCTTCTCCGTCTCATAGTTGATCTGTTGCTTGCAGCCATGCTGCGTTTCAAAAAATTTGATATAATTGTGTTTTGGCATCAGAAAGTTTTTTTTTTGTGGTCATTTTAACCACCTTTTCGGAGAAAATACACGACCTTCCACTTTCCTTTTTCTTACTACTCTCTCTGGTATAAACTCAAAAAACAATCTAACATGTCCTCACTTGAGCTAGAAAATTGTTGCTATGCTTGGCATGTCAGGTAGGTCTATCAGACTTAAGAGGAAGTTCTATTTCATGATGTATCTTTTCCATCTCATACGGCTAATCAATGATTGCAGCAATGAAAAATTCCAACGCTGTTGAGCTGATTTTTGTTTGGCCTTTTTGCAATCTTCATTTTCTTCCCCCTCCATACCAAACAACCCTTTCCATGAAACTATACATGACCTTCCAACTTTTCTTATTCTTATTATTTTCTTTGCTCCTTTTTATAAACCATGAGGATGTGGAGGTTTTTTCTCATGGAAGTTTTGTAAAACTTGTTTTCTATCGAGCTGAATAACCGGGAATTGGCAGGGCACATCAGGTGGGTCTTATGAGATTTTGGAAAACAATTTTCATTTCTTGGTGTTGCTGCTGTCTCATAAGGCTAACTGATGCTTGCAGCTGCAATGTATTTCAAAGCTGTTGTGCTAATTTTGGTTTTTGCTTTGGATGGTTCATTTTTTTTCTTATCAACCCACCTTTTTGCTGAAATACACATAAGTTTTCTTATTTTTATTTCTCTCTCCAGTTTTAGACAAAATGGCAATCAAACAAGTCCTCTCTTGAGCTGAGAAACTGTTACTTGGCATGGCACATCAGGTGGGGGTCTGTGAGATTTTGTGGGGAAGTGCTTCTGAAAGCATGATCCCTGAGTCCAGATTCCTCAGTCAGATAGAAAGTTCAAGTCGGCCAATTGATAAATCTCTTGCTCATTGCACAGTTGATGTTAGCTGGAAATCCAGAAGCTCTGCGCAACCCCTTTCATCTAATGTTTTACGTACAGAGGATGATTCGTGGATAACAAATTCAGCTTCAGCTATAAATGATAAATCAGACTGCCTGTTAGGTTGAAGGATGAGTCTGCAGCAATTGTAGCGGGCAGAACAACAGAGGATGCCTCCTCTACGGAATCTCTTGAACTTGATGACAGTTCAAGTGTGACGAATGAGAGAAGGAAACCATTTATGCAGAGCTGTTCTTTGCACAGAAGTCTGGTACATGATGGATAATCTTTTGATTTGCTTAGAGTTGGACTGTTCGCCTAATCTGAAAAGGTGATTGGTTTACATTACTTTTCTATTTTGTAAATGTAATAGGAAGTTCCTATAATCGTTCAGACCAAAAAGGATAACTTAACAAAAATGTATGTATTAGATAAAAACGGACGAACAAGGTGATTTTTGATGATGTCGAAAGTTGATATATGTATCTGTGGTTTTAACTCTTTTGGAAGTTTGCAAGCTTATATGCTATTTGCTATAGCAAAATCTAGCAATTACAAGGCTTTTCATTAGGAGCTTAAAAGGATTTAATTTCTTTCTAGAAAAAGAAGCATCGATTCTCTTACCATCCTTAGTTTATTGATAACTATTAGTGCTTTGTAGTGAAGCATGTTGAGGTTCAAAAAATAATATTGTTCCTTCTCTGTTTACTCCGTATTTAAATTACTATATTGCATTCATAATCATTGTATTTAAATCATTGTAATGCATTCATGATCATTAATCATTATGTTCTATCCCTAGCAGAATCCATTTATTATGTTATCGTTTATGTTGCTTAACATAGCATAGTATTTAATTTCTATATATACTTGCGTTTAAAATGATTGTAGGACTCAGGTATACTAAGAAACATTTAATTTGTTCTGATGTTGGCTATTTTACTAGTTAAGTTAAATAAATAAAGCAATATTAATATTTCAAAAGTTTAAAATGAGATTATGGTCATTAGAGAAGGGAGATAATAGTGTACAGTTCGATTATGAATTCGAAATACAGGAAGTTACTATTGTATACAAGTAGTGTCTGATTTCTATATTTTGCATGTGAATACATTGTGTAGTACTTGAAAGCTTCCAAGAATTTTTGACATATTGTGAATGTACTAAACTACTCATAAGAACCAAGCTTTTTTTTTTTTTTATTAGATCTCGAATTCATGAGAAATTTATTTTCAATTAAAACAAAAAAAATCAACGAATAAGTAATATTGAAAATTTATATATAATATGATAATCTAACTAGAAATCTCATTATAGATTCTTCAAGGTTCATTTTCTTTACCTACTTGATTGCCAAAGAATGATTTGAAAAATGAAAGAATAATCACATATTCTGATATTCATGTTGAATTAATATTTTGCTTAGACCACCGGTAAAGTGATATATTATAATTTTTTTGTCTCTTTTCTTTATAAGAGAAATATTAATTTATGTTGTTTGGTATCTGGCCTAATTTCGACGAATATAGTTATTTAGTCAAGAACTAGCCCAGATCACTACGGCTATTAGACAATACTTTTCTTTTGTCTAATAGTATTTGTAGATAATATATGCTTTACAAATTTTTTAAGAAATTATAAACTAAAGGGTAATTTTATTATATGAGTATTTTAATATATAATGACTATAATTAATGATAAGAATAAATTAGGAATAAAATTTTAAATTATTTATTAATTTAATAAAGTCAATAAATATGGTTAGACATTCAAAATAATATAGTGAATAAATATTATTAAAATAAGAAAGTAAAAAAATAAAATAATTGTGTCATGTTTCGATAAAATAAAAATGTAGATAGGTAATTTGGAAATTACTCGAAATACAAATACAAAAGGATTTAAAGAAAAAAAAGAAAGGGAAAAAACTAGAGGGTTTAGAAGGGTTTAAGCAAATGTAGGATAGATACGACGTCGCATAAGCATGTCTTATCTATAGACGAGAGAAGAAAATCAAGATTTAAGAATCAGCCATTGTTGAGTTCTTTGAGCAAGCATAGTGAAGAATAATGAGCCGTCTCCACTGCTTGGAGACATCGATCTTCGCCACCGCAAATCTCTCTCTTTTTCACACACCCTTTTCACCATCTGCAGTTTTACCCATAACTTCTACCAAACCTGCGAGCCTTCTTTTTGAGAATTTCAAGAAATCAGCATCAAGAACACCAACTAGAACAAGTGCCAACAACCCCACAACTAGTAACTACTTCGTTGTCTTTTCTAGTATTGCTCTCTTCTTTTTCTTCAATTTTCTTGATTGATAAATATTTTGTATGGTTCTTGTTTAGAGGTGTTGGCTAGTGGTGTATCTACTGCGGCAGTAGATGGAGAAGCTGATGTTGAAGTTGCAGAGGGTTATACAATTACTCAGTTTTGTGATAAAATGATTGATTTGTTCCTAAATGAAAAACCCAAGTCAAAAGATTGGAGAAAATACTTGGTTTTTCGAGAAGAGTGGAAGAAGTACGGGGATAGATTTTACAGTAGGTGTCGAACTCGAGCTGACACAGAAGATGATTCTCAAATGAAGGAAAAGTTAATTAGCTTGGCTAGAAAAGTTAGGAAGGTATAGTGAATTTCTTTTAATGCATATTTTGGTTTAAGGTTGAAAATGAGAAGTCTGTTTTACTTTGACAAGGCTTTACTTTTAGATATTCCCAAATTGTTCTTGATCAGGAATGAGGTCATTGCAGATTGATGATGAAATGGAAAGGCATACTGAACTTCTCAAAGAGATACAAGATAACCCCAGGGATTTGAATGCAATTGTTACAAAGAGGCGCAAGGACTTCAATGGTGAATTCTTTCGGCATCTGTCTTTGCTTTCAGAAACTTATAACAGCTTGGAGGACCGAGATGGTAAAGTGGCTTTGCTCATGGATTGTTCTTTTAGGTTTGATGGTTCTAGTTATGGGTTGTTGTTGTTGTGAGAGGAAGAGAACCAAAACTGTTCTGCAGCATGTTTTAGTTTCAACTTTTCTTCTGGGAAATAAAACAAACTATGGCATACGAGTTCAAACTAAACTAGCTGGGGTTGCAAAGGATTATTGTTATAAGCTTCTGCATTATTAAAAGACCATTGCAAGGCTGCTTAAGCCCTGAGTCTCAGTGCAAGTCGACTGGTCATTTTGTCTCGCCTATGTGGTGCTTTGGTGCTAGCAATAAGTCATTAAAGTGTGTGCCTCAGTGCCAATGGGCTTTGTTCTAAAGAAGGAAACCTTAAAGATAAATATAGCTAGATATATAATATATCAATTGTTAAGGGAACATTATGGATGAATATGCCATTGCATAGATATTGACCAGCCTAAAGTTTAGAAGCTTAAACTTGTGTCTTTGCATTTGAAATACAAGTTTAAAATAGTCTTTGAACTTAACTGACACCATTCTACTTTATATATTTCTTTCAATTGTAGTTACTTCACTTTCTTGGACTTTCCATTACATATGCTGTTAATGGTTTTCCTCATTTGTGCCTTTCTTCACTAAGGCGTTCACTTTAATTGTGATTTGTGGTTTACGTCCCAAGAGAAACTTCCAGTGTTTCTGGTTTTTAGTCTTTGACAACACTGATCAGCCTCTCACTAGTCCTTTTTTCTTTAGTCTTATGCCGAAGCCGTGTTTGTTCTAGGAAGTACTTTATGGGCATGCCATTTTTTTTATTTGATAAAGAGCATGTCATTTGTTTGACCATAATCGATCTCTGTGATTGAAAAATTGTGATGTTTCAGTAGGGCTTTTTGTTGCTTATAGTAACTAGTCCCTGACTGACGATAGCTGTTCTACAAAAGATTATCTTGTCTAAGATAGTCTTAATTTCACCAGTATCCATTAAATGCTTCCTTATTCATAATCAAGATTAGATATCTCAAAGCTGAACCCTGTAAACTAAAGTCAATCAGAATGTTTAGGATAGCAACTCCATCGCTCCCTTTAACTAATTTATGCAACATAAAAGGCATGAGCCTTTCTTTTTGTCTTTTCATCTTTCAATAATGAAGTGTGATTTGTGTACTACTTTCTTATCCAAATAATCCAACTATTGGGTTCAATCATGAATCAGATTTACACGATGTTTTAAATGATCTTTGATGCATATCTCAATGGATGGAGAAATGAATATTTGAAAAGAAAACCGGAAAGCAACTAGAAATTGAGTGCTGATGTCATCTTGCCATTCTCTGTGGTTTTTTGATTGAGCAGCATTTGCCAGACTTGGGACTAGATGCTTGTCTGCAGTCAGTGCTTATGACAACACACTGGAGATTGTGGGAACATTAGATACTGCCCAGGCCAAATTCGATGACATCTTGAACTCTATGTCAGTGGATGCAGCATGTGACAAGATTAAAAGCCTTGCCAAGAGTAAAGAACTTGACTCTTCTTTGGTGCTGCTGATAAATGGTGCTTGGGCTTCAGCAAAAGAATCCTCTACAATGAGAAATGAGGTACGGACATTTGTGGTCCATTTGATTCACAAAGACACGAGCACAAAGATTTTTCCGTTGATCTATTTCTTGAAGAGAAATGCTGATTTTCATCATATATGGATCTTGACTGATTTATTATCCTAACCATTTTATGGTATGATTATATTCGGTTTAAACACTAGGAGATTCTTGAATTGCTTTTTCTGTCATTGTGATGTTAAATAAGTAGCTTCAGATCATGGTCTTTGATATTGGAACATATGAATTGGTGGATTTGTCCTTGTGGACTATAGGGGTGTTAATTTTTGTTATAAAAGCATAGCATATTCAAACTTAAGTTGGGTGGGTTGGGTTATAGGTCAGTTGGGTCACGTTATGTTTATTGACTCAAAGTCTTCTTTGACTCATCCAAGCCTGACAAAATCCAACCCATGTTTGACTCATGATATTGTTGATGATCCCAAACTTAAGTTGGACTATGACTAGTTTCTAAACCCGTTTTAATCCAAGCAAACATTGGATCCTGACGATGGATGTACAGTAGCTTATATTCTTATATGTTGAATAGTAATACTCAATTCTGTTTTGATTTATGACACACTTTCCATGTGCTATATTCCAAACATTTGACACCAATATGATGTGCGTGTCAAAATTCTATGCCAGTGACGCAGCATACTTCGTTGGGGAAGGTTTATGAGCACTTGTAGCTCATATACAAGAAAAAAATTTAGCAGTATAAACGTTGGAGGCGAAGAGTGTTGCTATATTGTCAAGAAAGTTTAGAACTTCATCCCCGAAGCTACTCATAATTGAAGGCCATTATATTTTTCTCAATTTTCTTAAATCCATGTCCTGATCTTTTTCTTCTTACAATTTTATTTGAAGGGGGCGGTAGGGAGGACTCAAATATAACTGTAAAACTGGAAGTTTCTTATTTGTAATGAAACGAATACACTGAACTCAACAACAACATACCCAATGTAACCTCACAAAGTGGGTCTAGAGAGGGTAGAGTA